TCCCAATTCCACCTTTTGCAGGGTAAGAAGCCGAGAGACCTGCAATGAGTCCTGCAGGGGCGTGTTCCACTACGGGAGGGACCTTGGGGAGAGATATTGTCCTATGCCCGAAATGGTAAGGCATCCCATGACCAACTTTGTCCATCCACTTTCTATATTCAGCGACCCATGTGTCTGATGACTTTAGGTTTAGATATAATTCCTTGGTTGGTACTTTCTCTTTCATCAGAACCTCATTCTGTGACGATAGAAACCCCATGTCCTGTTCAAAGACCTTGCAGGCATTCTGATGCCAGAACCATAGAGGTAACACCTGAACCAAAGGCGACCTTTTCGTGACCCCAAACCTTACAATAAGCATAGACTTCCCTTGTCCTGTAGGTCTACAAAGAAACAGCCCTGAAAAGTAGTTCTTCACTCCGTCCTTTCCCACAAACTCTCGATTGTTCTGCAGAACACATGGAGCATCAAACCGGAGTAAATTACTCCCTTTCCCATCTTTTTCTCGCCCCCAAGTCCCTGCGAAACCCCGGTTACTTCGCTCTGTGACCTCAAAGACAAGCGGCTGCGCATCTTCTCTTTTAGCAGTGAAGTCCGTTCTGTCATGAGAGATAGGGACATGAGCCGGATCCATCAGATTCTCTAGAAGGATGGAGTGGTCATAAGGTAGCTCGTGAGTACCCGAAATGTCATAGAAACCGGGTCTAGCGAAATTCTCAAACCAAGGAAGCTTTTCCGGGTTTGGAGGCGTCTTTGTGGACATCCACACCCACACAACTCCCTGTGAATCTTTTACCTCGTAGGTCTTCACACAAGCCGCCTTTGGAATCTTAGCAGTTGCAGGAAGCTGATTAAAAAAAAAAAAGAACCAGTAAGTGAATTAAACAATCTCTAATCTTCTATTTGACTCTTACTTAGTGAAGAAAAACCTGAGGAATCTTGACGCATTTGCCATCTCCTTCAAATTGCCAACCATGGTACAGACATTCCAACCTCCCATCAATCAATTGTCCTTCAGACAATTTAGCTAACCTAAAAAAAAGACAAAACTCACACACGACAAAGACGGTAAGTAAAAATGTGTTGAGAGATCAGATTTGCAAATCAAAAAACGAGTGGTTATAGTTTGCAGACAAAATTTCTCACCGATGAGGACACCGATCTTCGTAACAGCGAAGCGTACCGTCGCCGTCTTTGTACAAAACAATTTGGCGATCAAAAACGGTGAGGCCAAGTGGAGCATCGTCGGGGACGTCTCTGGTGAGATACAAAGGGTACCATTCCTCCGTCCAATCGTAATCCGCCACCTCGACACGTTTTTCCTCTTCAGGCGTGAGGTTTAGCAGAACAT